AATCACAAATTAGTACAACAGCCATGAAAGTCAGGGACTCGTTACTCAGCTGGTCTTGTGGGTCCTTTGTCTGGGGTGGGGGGGCAGGTCTGCAGTACTGGTGAAGCTGGTGGATGAGGGCACTGAACCCCAGTGGGGGGGCCCAACTCATTCCCAGGGTCAAACAATAAGACATTAACAAGAGGAGCATTGTAGGGGGCAGGAGGCCCAGGACAGGGGGGCGCAAGGAACTGTCAAGGGCCTAGAGAGGAACCGTGTGATGCCCACTGGCGCCAACGGCAGAGGAACCAGCCAGACAGATGCCACTGAGGGGGGCACTCCAAGCCGCCCGTCCCAAAGCCACCGTTAAAAGCCGTACTGCAGCCTCTTCCACGCGAGGTCGAGGCATCTGCCAGTCTGAATTACACAGGGAGCGTCAGGTGAGATTCCCGGGCAATTTCAGGCTGAATCTCATCTCCTCCACACTCTGATAACTGACCTTCATTAGCGAGTGGCTAATTGAATCTGCAGAACTTCCAGCTGAATTCAAACATACACGACGAGGGCTGGATATGGCCTGTTGTCAGTATGTCTGTATTCATAAAATGTCATTTAATCATTTCTGACATGTAAGCTGAGCAATGTGGATCTGCATCGCATTTACTTTGCTACAACCTTCTAGGAATGGGAGAAAAATTATTTTAAGAGGTAGGAAAAGAGCCAATAAAGCCATCTTGTTATAGCGTTAAATAAATACTTTAGTTTAACCTGATTTTAGCTGACAATTCAGCCACCGACTTAACACAAGGCAAATAAAGTACAACCCCCTCCCCCACGCCACCCTGAATGGAGGAAGTCTACTTGTAACCAGTCAGCTAAATACATTAAAACCATAAATCAAAATAGTTCAATAAGGACTAGCTGGCGTTTACCAGCCAAAGGCTCTTGACAAGACCAGCGATGAATCACCACAGGAACACAAAGGATCGCACAAGTTCTGCGCCACCTGCTGTCATATACTTACCACGACCTTTATTCTACACCAAGTTTTGTTTATGGATTTTACCTGGTGACTCATTTGCCCAAAAACTAGTGTAAGGATGTCATACGAAAAAACAAGGTTAGCACTGCTTATCAAAGGAGCTGAATATTCCTAACTTTGGTATCAGCACTATAGTAAAGCAACAGTTTTAAGACATTCTTTATAAAGCAAGGATTAGTAACAGGAGTCATGAGTCGGGGTTTCTCACTCATCCTGCAAAACCTGGGAAATACTCAACCAATTTTCAATGTCCACATATTCAGATCTTCATACGGCAACATGTCTTTATGAACGTATCCATTGTGTAGATGATGGTAGTTTAATGCGCAAACTCGGATCTGAAGGATTTTTTTTTGAGTAGTGTGGGTTTATATAACCTCATATCCTGGGTCCTTCCCTCCCCCAAAATGACATTTGTGCCTTTCTGATGAATGGACGTCTGGCCTGTGAATTCCGTAACCTTCCATGTGGACATTTCATATCTGGTGACACACTCCCAGTCTCAGCTAAAGGATGAACAGAAGTAATCTTTTTACGATCAAAACAGAGGAACTAGTCTGATTCAGCTCCACATTCACTGGTAAAATTAGTTCAAAATTGACGGCACATTTATGAAAAACGCTACCTATTCTTACAGATCTATATGAGGACAGAACAGAAGCAGACGTGCTTACAGGAATTGAGCATGGATAATTCACCCCACCCCCCCCCCTCGCCAGTACATGTCATTTACAGAGACTGTCATTAACAGGGCGGGTCTGGGTGGGGGAGTGGAGGCAGTACCCCTGTGACATGTATGGCACCCCCTGCGCCCCCCCGATGGACTCTTAATGGGGGCGCACCATGTGGCTGAGTCACTGTTGGTGAAAAGCAAAATTAATGACAAAAATTATGAAGCTTGTGGAAGCGAGACAAGAAATTAGAGAGAATTACAAGTTTGTGGAAACTGTACAGTGAGACTGCAAAGCGTAAAGAACTCATCAGTTCTCAAAATTGTCCTTTGCTTCTTAATGTCAATTTACTGTAATACTTAAAGGACATTAAGATCAAACGCATGTGGCCCCTCTAACAGAACAACTGGCCCCAATCTGCCCCCCCCCAGAGCTGAAATGGTGTAGCACCTCCACTGGTCATTAGAAACTGGAGGCCCTTAGCTCTAAAGGGACCCCCCCCCCCAAATGCAGAAAGAACCCAGTCCAAGTCATGGGTACAGTAAGACATTTTCTTTGGCTTCTGTTGTCACAGAAAGGGCAAAATGACCTTCTGTAATACCTACAGCCAAGGCGGAACCACAGAAATAAGCATAACTGATGTCGTCACTGTACAGACAAGCTGTAGAGCTTTATTTCACATTAGAAAATAAACAAATCACTTAATGAATTTATATGTACACATATACATACATCCTATATACATGCTAACTATGTCATTTATCGTATTCTGAGCAGACTTGGTCCACTTCTGTACCTAAGGAGGTGGGAGACGTTTATTTCTGACCTATTGGAAGTCTAGCTTTGAAATGGCACAAAAATTCACATCCCTGATGGTCGCTGGAGTTCAGGTTGGCCCTGGAACGTCGGGCTCTGTACAGCTGTGATGAACATGCACATAGTTGCCTTTGGCAGTGTTAAGTTACAGGAAAGTCAATTCATGCTTGTAGGCACCTTTACATATTGACATTAGACAATAATAAATAGATGTAATAATTCTGCACCAACTTTCATAAAAATAAAAAAAAAATAAAAACTCAAGTCTTTCAGGAATGACTAACAACAAACACAAAAGCACCTCTCATGGGGGGGTGGGGGCGGCAATGAAGAGAAGAGACAGCCGTCACTTCAAAAAACCACAAAGCAATCAGATTCTGATATAGGGGAGCGTATGACCCCCCCCCCCTCACATACACACCTAACATGGCTTGCAAAACATAGGTCCCTCCCACCCCACAGGTGGGATTATCCTACTGCATGGGTAACAAACTCCATTTTAGCACCAGTTTAGCACAGCTGTGCACGTGCTGAAGTGTTCTAGACATTCAGATCATTAGGAGGTGTGACAGCTTAACTCCTGTGTTGTGTGCAGTGAGCCTCTGTCGGGGGGGAGGGGGGGGTTGGGGGTCACAGAGCCTTCCCAAGTCAATTTACTAACGGAAATTCATAAACCCCCCCACCAGCTGAACTAAAAACCTGCACAGAACTCGATGTGTGGCGTGAACAACCAGTTTAGAGGAATTTATCAAGTAAATTGCACCTAAATGCAGGTGCTTAGGACCAGACCATCGGGTTAAATATTCTAAAATAGGAGTTAAATACTGAGTCTTCTATAGATTCTGTAGAAGGCAGAACAGAACAATATTCCCAAAAGGTCCTTCCAGGCCTGACTGCTCAGGATTAGCGACGACCTCATCTACAGCAACGTGTGTGTAGAGTCCGATTTAAATCACACCACGGTAGAGGAGTGTCTTCAGGAAGACATTTCATTGGGTAAAAGGAAAATAAAAGCAGGTAAAATCCTTTTCACAGCCTAAGTACAGCTTACAAAAATCAATCCATTTAAAAATAAAAAGCTGCCATAAATTTCTAGAAAAAAACCTGAGCGGAGGGGCGGAGGCCGGCAGGCAGATTGGCTCAGGTGAGCCCCCCCATGGAGGGTGTCAGGCTCAGGGGGAAACGCCCTTCTCTGTACTTTTGGGGGGTGTCAAGATTCCTCCAGCAGGAATGGGGGAGAGTTGGGGGGTGCTCGTCTGCTTCTGCTGAACATTACCCTGAAAGCAGAGACACCACATTCAAAATTGGAAGGAAATTTTTAAACAGATACTGCCACAATTTGACCGTAACGGAAAAAACTGTAGCTGGTAGCCCTACGACCAACACGATTGCACTAGCAGCGAGGATGCAAAATGGCCAGTTTCATGTCATTACGGTGAACATAAACACCCCATCAAACACCACGGTAGTCAGGATTCGAGTCAGGAGGCCCACCAGCATGAGCAGGTAATCCACGTGTGTTTGGATGTTGTGTCTGTCCTCCGGAGCTATTTTCTTGAATTCCTTGAGCTGCACAGGACACTCGCACGCTGCCTTCATGAACGGCGACATCCAGGTGAAGCAGTCGCCCAAAGTGTCCCACGTCAGACCTACAGAAGCCACCGTGAAGCCAGGAGTTACAGGAAGCAGCTTTGTGTGACACTGGCAGTCTGACTTAACTTGGCGACACACAGGAAAACCACACTGGAGTACAGGAGGAAATCTGAAAGGTCATGAACGCCTTTGAGGAAGCTTCTCACAGGAAAGGGAGCGCTGCGTTACCTGACACTCTCTCGACGGCTTCGAACGACGTGAAGTGACAGAAGGCCACAGCTGCCAGAATTCCATAGTGATACTTCAGCGAATTAATATCAAGGATGCACAGATCTAGGAGCTGAGGGAATCCAGCGTTAGTGCACAGATAAGGCGTCCCAGACAGTCATATGCATATGTAGTGCGGTACTGCTAAATACTACGAGCATGTAGAGGTGTTAGCAAACGCCCTTGAATGTTGGGACCTGATCAGCTTACCTGAGAGATCTGTACAAAGGTCTCTTGAGAAAACTGAGGTATTAGAAAATTGATGTCATCCTTCAAAGAGGCCACTTGAATGTATAGTTTCAGCCATGAGATTACAGTCTCTGGACACAGGTCCCAATTCAAGGCCTGTAGAGGCAGGGGGAGGAGAGACACTTAGTATACAATACATTTTATTTGCCTACCAAGACTGGCTGGTCATGAAGAACAGGAGTACCTTCAAGATGATGAGCTCCATCTCCAGGATTTCCTCCTCGTCACAGGCACCGTCCGTAACGTAGGCAAAATCGTGCAGTTTGGGGGCATAGATTTCCTGAGGAGGAACATGAGAAGTTGGCAACAGGCTGGAGGGAAGACGAACAAATGCAGAGAGAAAAGGCTGAAGGGCAAGGCTGACCGCCGCATACCGCCAAGACCGTACCTCCATCTTAGCAGCGATGAAGAGAGACGTGATGCCAATCAGCTGTAGCCTGTTCTTCTGCACGTCCACTTGTGTCAGCATGAACCGGTCGAAGAAGTCCTGGGCTAGGTAGAAGGTCTCTCGATGGAGTGTGTACACCTCACTCACCTGGAAGAAGGAGCACATCACAAGCTTGTACAACTCCCAGTGTCTGCCGTCCTTAACGTTCAGACAGGAAAATGCTTTTGAACAATTAAATCAGGTTTTAACCATTAGCCTTATAATGTTTGATAAGAGACATACACAATATCCCAGCTTGCTCTCCATGAGTTCTAGATTCAGCACAGGGACAAACAGGGTGCAGTGACCATGGGGGCAGGACACTGCTCAAGGGCCCCAATGCTGGTGTGATTACTCTGCCGGTCACAGCATTTTATGGCAACGCTGAATGGAGTTCCACATTTTTACCTCCAGGAGCCAATCGAGGAGAATGGACCTCATCTTGGGCTGCAGTGCAGGATGGCGTTCCATGAGGCTCCGGTCATGAACGTACTTCAGCTCTTTGCTCAGCATGTTGACCCAGACGTCCTCGGAACTAGCCCAACTGCAAAAAAAACCCCACACGATTCAGGGGGGCACACTGAGGCCTGGTATAGCCCTGTGGGCACGTTTTAATCTGCTTACCGCAAGCCTGAGACCAGTGGTAACACACGCCGGTAATAAAACGGAACATTACAACATGCTGAACACGGCAGTCAGCAACTACTCAGGAAGAACCTCAGAACGAGTCACGCTTTTCGCAAAGGGTGGCGGGAACATTAAGGTAATGTGCAAAGGGCTCGATGATATTCGGACATAAAGCGATAGAACCAAAGGTCCAGGTACCTCAAACACGGCAGAGACGGAGCTTTGATGAAGAGGTTTTTGAACCTGTACTGCTTGAACCCAGACAGGTTGCTGGTCACCTCTTCATCTTTGCAGGGCGTCTCTATTAGGATGCAAGGGCTGACGGCTCCTTGCGCCCACCGGTTCTGAAATGTCCAAATGAAAAGGTTACGGAACCTACAACAAATTCACAGGCCAGACGTCCATTCATCAGAAAGGCACAAATGTCATTTTGGTGGAGGGAAGGACCCAGGATATGAGATTATATAAACCCACACTACTCAAAAAAAAAAATCCTTCAGATCCGAGTTTGCGCATTAAACTACCATCATCTACACAATGGATACGTTCATAAAGACACTTTGCAGCCACGCCATTGTTCGTTAACATTTCATTTCAGTTGCAGATTTATATAATATTATATACCTGGATTTCATAGCTGTGCTTTTTCGCAGAGAGAGGTGCTTTTCTTTTGCTGCACTGTAAAAGGTAAAGAGGCGTTCAAAACGGTAACACACACTTCTAGCGATTTACACGCACTGCATATACCAATCATACATTTTATGTGCACAAACCTCCGATTTCCTTTTTCTTGCCACTTTGCCTTTCTCTGCGGGGGCATTTTCGTCCCTGGGCTGTAACGTGACTCGAGCGCTGCAAAACGTACCAGCCGGTTCAGGATACGGCCGGGCAGTTTTATCAATAATACTACTAATAATACAATACAACCAAAATTATATTTGTGTTTTATTATTATTGAGAAAAAATAAAACATTTAGTTGCAGTTCTCAGTTTCCCCAGGTACGGCTCTTACCTGCGTCTTGACATTGTGTGAGCGATTAACGAGCGGGACTTCCTATAAATAAAATCAAAAACAATGCATTAACAAATACAATTAATTAAACTCAAATGCTAAAAGGCATCACAGCTAACAGATTTTTCGTAGAAGTTCTCCCATGGCCGGACACAGCTCCAAGGCGGTAAAGTCGCAACCCCCCCCCCCCCTTTAAAAAAAAACTCTGTTACTCACGAAACTAAAAATGCTCACAATTCTTATTAAGATACTTTAAAAGGCGGGCTCCAGAGTGGGCACTGGGGCTGGCTGCCCTGCTGAAAGGCGGCTTTGGGCGCCCGGTGCCCCGGCTTGAGGCGCCGCGGCTACGCGCCAATTCGGCGGAGCGGGAGGATCAACCTTTGTCACGTAGCGGCCGGGTTAGTTAGCCGGGCGCCGGGGCAGACAGCCGGCAAACCCGGCCAGATAACCCAAAGTACACCGGATGGTTAGATTAAACACTCGCCAGATCATTTTCTGACCATCGGATTCAGAACAACAACGAAGTAAAAAAATGCAGTTAAACCGGCACTTCCCCTCGCAGGACCAGCTCCGCCGGAGATAGTGCGCCGAAGCACCATTCTGCCGCCAATCAGACATTCAACTTGTAATGACAATCTAACTACCCACCCGGTACATAAAGGCGGTTTAACCCGGGGGACGCGGTCATAACAGAACCCGAAATACCAAGGGCCGGTCCAAAAGCAGCCGAGACCCACCAGAGCCTGATCTAAGCTGTGCGGACACTACATGATCATGTGCCTTACTCAAACCCCCAGTCCCTAAAGCGCAGATGGCTAAATCACCTCCGGAAAAGCGCCTTTGCGAAGCGGGACTCGGTGACGGCACCCCAGCAGACCTTACCAGCTAAGCGCCGCGAATAAAAGTATCAGCTGGCGCCGGCGCCAAGCCTTATAAGTCAGGCGGCGCGGCGCCAATGCGCAGGCGCGGTCCCTGCCCTGGCCGCGCACCCGTCAGCGAAGAAGGTGTTTCAAAACTGAACATCCTCGCTGAAAATCCCATATATAAACGGAAATAAATAAATATAAAGGTCTGTCATTCTCTATAGTACGTTGGACGGTTCTAACCTTGGTAAATAAAGTAAAGAAATTTATTTTGAATGTATTGCGGGAAAGAGGTGGAGACAGCTCCGCTGCCATAAAGGAGGAGTTCGGAGAAAAATTTGAAAAAGGAGGCCTTTCCCCTTTTTCCGGTCAAAGGCGAAAGACGCCGAAACGCAGCGCTTTGCCAGCCCTATGAGGGCCGCCGGTGAAATACGGCGAAAATCTGACGTGTTCGGTAAAATTACAGATTCTGCGGGTTCCTGGCTCGGGTTTGGCCCGCCTCTGGGAGGGGCTTCGCCGGCACGTCGACCAATCGGAGGGAGACAGAAGGAGACAACGTGCTCGGCGCAGAATGTAAACAAACCGAGCCGGCATGCCGAAAGCTCCACTTTCTGCTGCTCATCCGAGAGAGCAGACACCTAATTCTGCTTTAAGTATTCGACGCGGCTCTACGACGCCTCTTTAAGAATAAGATGCCAAATTGTAACTAGCAAAATTACATGTTATTTAAACGTGACGCAGCGGCACTGGGTTACACATGTGCAGTAATTAATTTGTATCGCCCAGAAATGTATTTATGGGATCACCTGAAGAACATGAACTCAAAATAACTCAAAAAAGTATTTATATTGGTGTTCCCACGGAGCGAGCAGAAATTATGAAAACATTATCCATAGTCTCCTTTGTTCATGTAAGCTAAACTCCTTACAGGAATTTTTTTGGACAGTGGACGTATTTCTGTATTGTATACAGGGGCATCATAAGAAATATTAGAGAAGAGCACGCACGAATCTGTCCACTACCACGTACCGAAAAAACCGGGGGCGAGAGGGGGCAAACGGGCCCTTTATTCTGGCTTTTATTGTGGAAACTTATTGTACTTAAACTTACCAAAGAAACCCTGTACAACTCTAAAATAATACATGCATGCTTTCCAAAATGAGATTCAGTATTAACATTTATTAAACAAACTAACAAAGATGTTATACGTTTTATTGAAGACTGGTGGGTTACAACATGGTTAAAATATTCCAAGATTTTAAAAAGAAACATACTACGTTATTCTCACTTGTCCGTTTTGCTGACCTTAAAAAGTAAGGATTTTGTAGTCATCTGTCATACATCCAAACATCAAAGTATACTCAGATAAATAAGGACTAACGCTAATTCCTACACTTTTTGGCGAAGTGCTGCATTATTCCAGTAACCTATAAAGAAAACGCGCAACGTCTAACACTTGAAAGCTGTTACACAAACATAAACGTGTTCGTCACACTTTAAACAAAAAGGGTTGCTACATTTGCTTATAAAAGTGTATAGAGCAAAGTGGCTCAAAGAAACTACCTTTTGTGCATAGTTGATTTTCTGCTGTTTGTCGTCCATTCGGACAGTTCAAGTTATTAATGCAATGACGTACTGTGAACCTGGAAGGCACGTGATCCCCAACAAGTAATTCAAGGCAGAAGTAAAATAATCATCCCTGTTGCAACAAAAACAAGAAAACTGAAAGGGTCCTTCTAGCACTGGAGGTTTTTCCGTTCACTTCCACAGTTGACCTTATTTCACAAAGAAAAAAAAACAGACGCTTAAAAGAAAGCGACTTTGCTAGATATAACGACAAGAAAAATTACAGATTCAGGGGAAATTAGCAATAGACCGCAGTAGTACAGCCACTTTCGCGGGTAAAAACACATTTGGACACACTGCGATACACACTGAAGAAAACGCAGAGTTAGTGCTCATTAGACAACCGAAATAGGCCATGCGTATTCGTATAAATAAAACAAATTTTCCCAAACAGAAGCGGCCATTTTGCTACACGTGTGGATAAGTCTACCCAAGCAGGGGCTCCGACTCGTTATGACACCGCCATCGTCTCGCCGACATTCAAAGACAGAGAAATCGAAAAAACTGAAGGTTTGAAGACAACCCGCCAAAACAGAACCTGTTTGCAAACACAAAAATACAAAAACAAAACATCAGGATATAACGCTACTGTAGGCTAAAATAAGTTGCTAGTTTTTGGTTTAAATATTTCGTTAAATATTTCTCAATTAAATGCAACTAAGAGTAAACAAATACAGACAGTTACAGTATACTGAACAAATACATTAAAAATTCACTCAGTCTTCTGATCGGCTTTTAACAGTCAGTTGAGAAAAGTTTTAGCTAGAAAGTGAGTTTCACAGTCCTCACGCCAGCAACTAATTAAGTCCTGTTATTTTCTAAAGAAACACGCATTTCCTTAAAAATAATAATAATTAAAAAAAGACATACATGTCCACAAGGCCACAAACTAACTCCTGGACACATTTGGAAGGTTTTACAGTATGTACCAACAGGAACTGCTGTCAAGTAATCTGCAACTGTAAAGATGATCTTTCATGACCCTGAGAAGCATACTGCAGATTTAGAACAATTACGTTTTAAAGATACAATAAAACACTTTAAAATCTTCACCTAGGTGGAATCTAACAATATACAACCATGCAACTACACCACACGCACACTAACATACTCTGAATTTTGCACACACATAATACACGCTTCTGTATACAAACTTCATATTGATAAGAAATATTTTCACTTTTTTTTTCCTTTTAAAAATATTTTTGGAATTAATTTTCTTTTTTATCCCCTTTTTTAATATACATTTTTTTCAGTTTAATCCATAATGAATACAAGGCTTTTAGTGATAATTAACCATAAAAAAAATAGTGTGAATGTACTGATTTACAAAGTTTAGGGCAGATTCCCTCTGAGCTGCACAACAGGAAACAGAGAGTAAGGATTTAGGTTTATATTGCACATGTGTGATAAAAACGTCAGATGCATGACTCTCCAGCTCTGTGGAAACGTTAGCAAAAGCGCAGAGGAGGTTTCTCATCTTGGGACACGTCCCCTTCACTCTGAAGAGCTCACGGCAGCACCTGACTATACCCCTAAAAGCAGACAGTCACCGCTCTTTCCAAACACCCGTACGTTTCCGTGCTTTTTGCTGTCAGAGGGAAACTGCCTCAGCAACTTGATTACACACACAGCCAGCATTCCGGCATGGCTGCAGGGGTGTCCAGCAGGGGGCGATCTCAGTAGTTGAACTGCCGCTGTACCGGCTGGTGCACGGGCAGCCCGCTGCCCTTGGCCTGCCGGACAGTGCCCTCACGCGACAGGTTGAGGCGGCGGAGGGCGTTGCGAGACAGCCGGTGCTTCTGGACGCCGTCCCGGACGCGCTGAGCGAGCCGGCCCAGCTTGGCCTGCTCCAGGAGGCCGGCATGAGCCGAAAGAGCAGCTGCGTAGCAACCAGCATGGAGTCCGGGGGCACGCGGGACGTCCACTCTGCAGACAGACAGCGGCACGTCAATAAGGTGCCGCCGGCCGCCCCCCCACACACATAAAATGCTTCATTGAATTAAATCTACATTCTAAACATGTCATGTTAAATCTACAAATATACCAATGCATTTTGTTGGTAGCTGGAGCAAACAAAGAATGAGTCTTCAGGTCAAGCTACACAATGCAATTTTGTAGCTTATCACACTCTGCCAATCACTTTTTAAAATAAGATATAATCAGATTATATAATTAAGATTATATAATCATATAATCAGGGGCGCTGCTGGAGGTTTGTGGCCCCATGTAAGCATATGTTGGGCCCCAACCCAGACCAAATTATGTATAAATTTTTTTTTAAGGCCCCTGTCACTCAGAGGCCATTGGAATCGTCCTAACTGCCCCCCCCCCCCCCCCCTTTTATGATGCCCCTGTATACAATACAGAAATACGTCCACTGTCCAAAAAATTCCTGTTAGGAGTTTAGCTTACATGAACAAAGGAGACTATGGATAATGTTTTCATAATTTCTGCTCGCTCCGTGGGAACACCATAGCGCATGAGTGCCCCCCCCCCCACCACCATCTGCACATTAATGTGGACATAAGTGTGATGCTGAATTGAGAACCTGTCAGCTGACTGGAAACACTGGTGCCCAGTGGATAGAAGGGAAGAGGAACACTGGATGCTGGCAGGTGCACGGAGGGGAGGGGTGTGTACCTGAGGAGAGACTGGTCGAGCGAGCGAGAGGTGTCAGTGGCCAGGGCAGGCCGAGGCAAGTGTCCCGCATACACGGACATGCTGGGGTGTTCGATGAGCAGGTCCTCCAGGGGGCTGGTCTCCAGCAGCACGGGTTCGAGGCCACTGGCCGTAAAGCAGGGCGGCGGCGTGACGAACCAGCTCTCCTCCAGCGCCACCGTGCCCAGCTGCAGGAAGCCGTCGTCCTCGGCGTCGTCCAGCGAGGAGCAGGAGGAGCAGCAGGCTGGCGGCTTGCCCACCGCAAGCTCGTCCTGTGGGGGCGTCCCGACGGACACCTCGCCGTGGGGGCTGGAGCAGGCCTCAGCTGCGGGGAAGATAACTGTGGTCAGAGCGGCTGCGTTCACAAACCCGTCACAACACAGCAGAGCCTTCAAAGCAAAGGACAAAACACAAGTCACTTAAATATTCATGCTAAGAGGCTCATCCCTGCACGGTCCTGTCAACATTCAGACTGTATTACCCTTTTTTGGCCTCCAGGGGGCACTAGGAAACACTTCACAAGGATCAAATTAAACTAGATCCTCCTTAATGCAACCACAGGTCAGCGCCGCCCTGTCAGTGATCAGTATAGCTCTTACAACAAACCCTGGTTCAGTGACTGTCACAATTTCAGCGACATATTGGGTTTCTCTGTGACATCACAGTCAAATTGATGTCAAAGTGACCAGCATGGAAAATAAACCTGAATCCTGCACACAAACAACTACGTGGGAGAAAAACAAAAACATCCTTTAATGATGATGGGGAGGTTAGTATCTGCTGCTTGGGACGCTACAAGAAACTCACAAAATGCAAGTTCCCCAAAGCTCAAAAAAACCATGCTACTAAAATCATGACTTGAGTGAAGGAAAAAAAAGATCTTCTTATGAACAATTTTCAGTCCTTCCATCACGCTATCCAGAATGGCTGTGTGCCGGTCTGGAACCTGTCAATTTCAATTAAGCACCAAGATAATTGAGTGACTCAAAGACTATTGAGTGTTCATTCAAGGGAATCTTAAAATACATCCCGATACACTAAATTCAACATAATCACCTGAAGAGCAAGACAGGGAACCAAAAGGGGGGGGTCACTACGAGGAGCACCATGCTTATTGCATCTTTAGAGGACACCTAAAGAGGAAGACAGGGTTATGCCCCCCCGCCCCCACCACATGGTGACATGCAGAGGTGACTCGTAACCCAGGGGTGAGACTGAGCTCCCCCCGGCAGACAAAAAGAAAAAAGAAAAAAAAAGCAGCACTTCTGTCACCCCCTCAGAAAAAAAAACACAGACCCCCTGACTCACACTCATGCTAACATGCTGCGTTTTACACACAGACTACTTCGCATAGACAGAAATGGCCGCCAGAGAAGTAAACATGTCCCAGGAGAGGCCCAGCAGGCGGGAACTCAGACTCACTTCCGCTTTGACTTCAGCGTTTGTCATGTGACGTGAAACACCGTTGTGCAAAAATGGCCGCATGGGGTGACCAGCATGGGACAGTGGCCCTCAATGCTGATTACACTGGGCACTGTATCTAAGCAAGTATCAGAGATACATGGAAGGGCAGCAGAAGGGAGACCGTGGGCTGTTACCTCTGACAACCGAAAACCTCAAGCCCAACAGCTACCTGACTGTGTCTTACACCCGAACCGGGGAGCATTTGTGCACATGAAACACCCCATAGCACAGGCACTTACACCTGTGACCTCCGTGTAAGCGGGGAAGGTGTAGGAACCCGCACAGCGCATGGGCCCCCAGGTCGGCGGGTTACCTAGGTAATCGACAAGAATCCACTCGTTCTCCTCCTCCTTCTCGTCGAAGCCGAGGTCCGCCTCGCAGCTGCCATCGTCCTGCTCATCGTCCCCGAACAGGGCACTGGCAAACCTGTGGAACATGCTGGAAGCCCCCCAGGCGTCGAGAACGCGTCTCCGGCCGGCTGCGGGTGAGAACGGGGCGCCTTGCTCATCGGCCGCCGACGCTGCTCCGGACGGCGTAGGAGGTGAGGGCGGGGCTCACTGGTGCGCAGGACTCCCGGCTCATCGGGCAAAGGCGGGATGGACGGCAGACATACTTTGCCTGTGTGGAGTGAGTGTCTGTGGATAGGAAGGCAGAAGCACGTTCATCATTAAAGCAGGTAAATGGCAAAGGGACCAGGCAGGAAAAGACCAGGCAAGACTGGGAAAAAAACAACGCTATGATCAGATTGGTAAGACTGAATTCCAATTCAGTCACAGCGAAACTTCCAAACCAGCAGTAAACAAAGCAACTTGAATAACAGCCATTTTATTAACCACATTCTGTAGCATACATGCATGGTATATAAGTCACTCTCTGGCATACAGCTGCATATTGGCTGCTAAGTCGACACGATTGACCTTTCACTCTCATCAGCAGGCCAGTCATTTTAGAAAACTGACGTCAGGCCAACAGCCTCTTTTGGATCATGGGAGATATAGTCAGGAGCAGAGGAGAGAACTCTGATCTGAAACCAGTGGTTAGGGATATCACTGGGAGATCACCAGGGCCACCGGAGAGAAGAAAGCCCCCCCCCCCCCCAGCAGAGAGCTAGGGTGAAAGGTCAAAGCTCTGCATCCAAGGGGCTGCTGTCGTCTCACAAAGGCCGAGACACACTAAGGACAGGTCTCAGAATAAGATCTAGCAGAAATCCTAGACAGATGACTATTACATAACAATACTATTTACATTTAAAACTTTCATCCAAAGCAACTGGGAATGTTAGTGATTAATGCAGCTGGTTAAATTTCACGATCAGTGCCACATTTAAATGCATAAAGTCCTCTGGGGAATCAGGACATCCACATTCTAATAAAAACCATCTTAACCACTTTTTAGTAGTTGTTTATCCATACAGAACAAGCCCATTATTGAGGACAGTTATGCTCAGCTAAGAGTAAACCTTGCAGCTTCTCTTTGGAAAACAATAAAAAACACACTATCCAAACAATAGTTCTACCAGCTGCATTTGAGAGAAAATGGCTTACTAATCGGCACGGGATTACAACACCACAGAACATCTGGTGTACCCTGATTTGGCCGTGATCTTCGGATTAGGGGCACCAAAACTGGGACGCGGCAGAGATAAGCGCAGACAGACGCCCTAGAAAGCCAGAGACAGACGGCAATGCAAGCAGCCATCAAAACCGGACGAGCAACATGGATAAAATATCTAATGTGCACCTAACGAGCAAGTGCAGAGAAACTGCCAGGCATTCTGGGTGAGTGCGGAGTTCTCAAGCCAGTTAGGCTGGTTTTCAGTCACGACAGATGTCTACAATCCGTTTATGTTATACACTTCGCATGCACAATAGGCATCGGTTACCGACGTCCATCTGCAAAGAGTTACGCAAATAGCGTAAAGACACGCAAACGTGTTCTGCATTTACGCTCCACACTGGATAAGATGGTCCTATTGCTATATGTAACATAATTTGAATAATACGCATCTTTACACAAGTGTCAACAGGCCACACTACGAACCTACTCCATCTGTTCAACGACAGCAAATTATCATCCACTACCAGCATTTCATTCGGAGAGAAAAGGCTGATAAGCGGCAGAAGTATCGGCTGGACTTGTAACGTAACCGCAAATGCATTTCAAAATGCGGTTTTAGACACAGGAGACGAGTCTAAAAATATACCGAGCTACTAACACTTTTTGAAGCGATAATTAATTACCCACCAAGTGAAGGATAACTAGCGGAGCATATGACGTCAGCCCACGGCAAATTGGCCCTCCGGCGCGTGCGTGGTGCAAGCAGAATGCGTAAGGCATAACCATAACTTGATCAGTTAACTAGGAAGGTGCAAGAACCCTTTCAAACTTGACAGATCTGTTACACAGACCACCATTTTCAGCAAAGGTAATCATGTACTTGTACAGAAAAAAATGCGAATGGACAAAAAAAAAAATCCGTACTCGAGTAAACAAAAAAAAAAACATAATGGTTCGCCAAACTAAAAGTGAAAGATTTTAAACGTTTTTCGTAGATTGATACCCTTAATATTTCCCCCAAAACGTCGCTTCGGCCTGGCCGATTAGATATGCATCGGTCCGGAGTCGGTCGTCCACGGGGGTGGTGGCTTGCAATTCCACCAAAAAGCAAGATCCGACCACAAATTTTAGAAATATGTGTTTCCAGGCGGTGTCTATCGCGAAATACGGCGTTTTTAAACACTCCGGTCGAGAATAAGAACCGCGGGTAAATATCTGTACGCCAGCGCCATAGGTCTCGGCTCGTTAACCCGCCTGTCTGTCCCTCCAGCTTATCAAAGCTAGAAATATCAAGTCCGGGTGACCGTCACTTCTTTTCTTGTAATGCATTATCTTCGTCCGTCACGATCGATCGCCGAAACGATCAACCGCTAACAACAGCCGATCCGCAGAAAAAAATTAAACTTTTTTTTTTTTGTTTCCTGCTACTGAAACACAACAACTTAAAACTCACCTGCGGCAAGAACAACGTAATCAGAAAAATATTTCTAAAGGAAAAAAATCTTTTGACTTTGAGGTAGTAAGTAGTTTATTTATATATATATATATACACACTTAAAAATTCTTCGCAGAAGAAATAATGTATGATGGACCAGCTGCGCTGCACCCCGTCCGCTCTGCCTGCCTTTCCCGACTTCCCAACTCCGCTCTTTGTTATTGTTGTGGAACATTAACAGCTGATCCGCGATGACGTATGGGAGCCACGCCCACTGGCGGGGCCTGTCGGTCAGACGCTAGCCAATCAGACGCCACCGTGCACTGCGACAGCCTGTCACTAACGCACGTGACACCCTGAGCGAGAGCAGATCGGAAAGTTAGTGCGGACAAAAACTACGAATTTTAATATTCAACTGTTGTCCAGAGAAACTTCACTTTTGAGAAGGGGAGTTCATTGTGACCGACGTCCTGATATTATTTGATCGTTACTCATTAATATTTCAAAATATGAGCCAATAAAATCTAAATAGGCAGAATCTGATCATAGACTACAGAGAACCGCATACAGGCTAAGGCGGGTTCGTAAGCCGGGACAATGACCATCATGTCCGGCGTTTCTACAGGTTGCAGAGTTTTTTTTAACGGTGAACCCCTTCAATTCTAAGTTCAAGTAACACCCCTAATATATAGAGCATATTATCACCAGGAACACTAAAATTAATCAACATTTTACCTTAATCTCCATTGCTTAAAAAATGTAAATTAAAAACAGAATGGACGCAGTTAAAAAAATGTTAACAAAAATCAGCACAATCATGCAAAACGTTAGTTTTAGAGTATTTACTTCTGTGATGATTACTGGACATGGGAAGAGGGCGGTTGAAGGAGTTTGGGTCTGATCTGGCACATCCATTTAAGCATCGCCAGCGTGAAATATAGGAAAATGCTGTTGAACTGCATGACTGGACATGGGGAGTGAAGGCTCTTGTCTAACTAGAGGAGAACATTCTCCCTGAAAGGCAAATATTTTTCCCCAGCTACTGTTTAGCAGTTGGGTATGACGTAAATGTTGTGAATTTGTATGAATAATAATGACGCCATATTCGATGCGTAACTTTACTAGGCTGTCCTGTGGTTTCCTACCTTGACCTCTTCACGTCCAATCAACATCCTGTCAACTCTTCAAATATGTCCAAAGATAAGGACGGATATTATTTTGGTAGAAAAGTGAGGAATCCAGTACTTTAATATGAAAAATACAGCAATTCGGTATTTTTTAGATTTGTTTCCATAAAACCTTTAAACTATAAACAATTTATTAAAAATATTTTGCTAATCGTGTTTAACAAATAGGGGATTTTTTGTCATGGGATTAATTTCTATTATTTTAACAAAATAAAGGCGAATTAGTAAATTGCAGCGATGCCGTAATGTTTGAGCAGCGCGGCGAGCCGTACAGTCCATGTCCTACTCATTCGCACTCGACACTTCTTACATAAGCCGGTTAATATTTACAGCCCCAGCCGTGCAGAGGCAGCGTTATAGCAGAAGGTGCTTTCCATGCACCGACCCCTGAGAAATGTTTACGCTCTGACTAAGCGGTCACTTTGGGTTCGGGGAGGCAGATTTTCACATCATCCCGAAATATATTCTGGGAATTTCCTGCAAATGGAGGTGTATGATGCTGACCTTTAAAAGTTTATTTTAAGTGTTTTGGTACTTGTCTTACACTGAAGGAAGAAGTAAAGAATATTTCATTTTCCTTAAAACAGACCATCTTTAGAAGATTTTAATTAACAAAATAATAAAACTGAGCATACCTCAATAGAAACCATATGCCAAAAAAAAAATAAAAATCATGCTGTACTTAATGTTTCAGTACACTTGTGTCACGTCCATTAAAACATATTCTAAGTCACATGACATGGGCTTTTTGGTAAATCCCCCCCATCCCATTCAAGAATTAGACCAATAAAGTTGTACAGTTTGCCTTCTTTAACACAATGTGACCATAATAAGAAACTTCACTAATTCCAGGGGCAAACTCTTGTGCATACAGCACCAAGGTACACAGACACAGACAAACATACATATAGTGCATAGACCGTACACGGTGACAGTATCACTAAAGGAAGTCTTAGCAGAGCGATTTCAAATAAGTTTGGAGGCAAGATATTTCATGAAACGGTTGCATCAGATTAACAGGAGGCTGGGTGGGGTGGTGACTCATGGGTTTCGGTGAGGCCTTTCACTCATAACATCTGGGCTAAAGCCGTTTGCTTAGTAATGACAATGAATACACAGACACATTCATTAAAAAAAATCATTTATTGCCTTTTACTGATTGGCATGTGCCTAGATGCCACAGAAAACCTTTCGGTGCTGCTGAAGTATTTTATCTGTCTGTTTGGTTCACGAAAGGTACAGAAATAATGCACAGCGCCTCCCAGGGCATGTTAGCACGTCAGGTCAGAAACCGCTACGGCGTCGCATCTACAGGCCAATATACAGTAGCTCGTTTCAGTGCCAGAAGACCTTTCAGATTAGGTCCCATACAAGCGGAATCAGTTCACCTTGTCAGTGCACCAGCGCTACGCTAGGGCATGTACAGACATGTCTGATGAAACCCCAAACCCAGTGGCCTCAAAGCGTCGGTGAAAACGCCGGGCAGGACCCCACCTGTACGCGTCCAGCTGGTGAGCAGAACATACACACACCAAGGCTGACTTCAGCAACAGAAGATCTGGACTGTAAAAGACTTTTTTTTTGGGGGGGGGGGGCACATGGAGTGCATTATTGGATCACAAAGAAAAACAGCAGCAGTGTGATGCAGTGAAATGCCCATCAAGCACTATTAAACAGGGGGGTTCAATGGAATTTCTCCAATAAAACACAAATTTACACATTTATGCAGGTGGGTAAATAATCTTGAATAAAAGTATGATAAGCAAGACCAGGCTTAGTATAGATATCAAAGGTCCGAGCACAGTACTGCCCCAGCAGAATTGAAGACAGAACAAAACCACATCTTAAAAGCAAAGTTAAAACAAATATTTTTAATTTTCAACACTGCATGATGTTACTGCGACCAGTAGCTGTGCAATAATCACTTTTGTTGCTTAAGAAACAGTTGAACAATCATAGGAAAATATCACCTGACACTGGTCTGGATGCAAGCATCCAAAAACCTCAAAGGTTTTCACCAGTCAATTTGAGGGCTGGACACACCTATATGAGAAAGAGCGAGTGGCTGTCCAAGAATACCCAGAAACACTGATTTTTCAAATGGCCGTTGATACATTTCCATTAGAAACACAGATGAGTAACAAATTTACATTCATTCAAAAAATGTTTAAAAAAAAAAAAAACTTAATTTCTAGGGACACAGTGGTGAGACAAAAAGCAAGTTAATGGGTAAAATAAACAGAAAAACAATATTCTTTATGTAAGCAATAACATTGGATAAGGACCCTAACCCTAACTTATTAGACCTTATTCAGTCAGGTTTTTAATGCTAATTTTTGGCATTAAAATGCTAATGCTAATGGTCCTAACCCAAATGGCTGCATAATGAAAGAATTGATTGATTGTGAGAGAATGTGGCTTTCAGACAGTCTGACGCCTGCTGGTTATGAGGTAAAGGCTAAAGGTGCGATCGCGGTGGCATTGTCGTCTCATACCCTCATGATGCCCAGGCCCAGGCCGCTATGTTCCCAGAAGTCTGTGCTGCTGCAGCCAGGGTGAGCCGAAACACCCAGACCCCAAACATGGGGCTTCTGATGCAAACAGCCGTTGTCCTTATCGCTAGTACCGCTGGGTTGGGGGTAGGGGATGGGGGCACCATACACACAGAGTGACCCAGCTACATGCTCAGGACTCATCACCTCAAAGAAGGAAGCCCGCGTTACCCCCCCCCCC